AAGACAGGCCTAGTGTTTGGAGGGAGCCACAGACAGGTTCTCAGTGCCTAGACTGTGAGAAAAGAGGGATCAGAAAACTTCTGGAGCTGTGTGTAGATCAGGCACCTGTTTGTCTGTAGTGTGCATTTTGGGACTTCTGGAAAATCTAGACATAAGCGTAATTCCTAAGTCAGAGGGACCACTGGGATATCGCTGGCCTTTGTTGGAAAAGCCGAGATAGAAATCAGCTGTTTGATGGATGAACAAAGGTGGCCACCAAATGTTTCTTTTTATCTGGTTCTCCCCTGACTGTGTGAATGTTTTAAGCTACTGGTTGATGAATCTATGTTTTCTGGTGTGATCCACTGTGCATAAAACGTTCATCTCTAAGCCTTTATCCTTAGCTTACTCGGGTCCTTCCTTCTAGTCACTGGATTCAGTTTTTAGGGATTCAAGTGTCTTTTAGGTATGGATAATATCACTATGTTTTTTATGCTATTCTATTTCTTGAAAAGCTGTCTCTGGACTGGGTTTTGGCTCCTCCTTCTCTTGATCCCAGTATGCTTGTTTGAAACTTTCCTCTAAAATCTCCGTCCTGTGTCAGGTGAGCCACCTGACTCTGTGACAGAGAAAGGAAAGAAGAAACAGAAGAATAGACTCTTCCCAATGGGGGCTGTTTTCACTCACTTCTTTTTTTCTCATTTATTTCTCTAAAATTTTTGCTAAAGTATGAACATTATCTCCAGATTTTTAATCTATTATGTAAACTTTCTGTACCCCACAATTTGTAAGTTTATTGGATATTGTTAGAGGGCTGTAAAATCTGTAATGAAAGTTAACTTAAAACTTCCAGCAAGAGGGTTGATGGTAGAACACTCATGCAAAGATTATCCTAATCTACTGCAGCACATAGTGTGTCCATGCTTGGATTCATCTCTGTTTTAAAAGGAATGGATGCTTTTGAATATTTGAATAACAGATATTTTGGATTGGAATGGATTTTTGTGTGGTGATTCTTTCCTGAGAATAAGAACAACAGATGAGGGGGATATCATAAAATCAAAGCCTATTTAAAAAACAGGGAACAACACTGAAAAGACTCTGATGAATTAAAATGTAATAGTTGTTATGAGCAAGGCAGCACATATGAGGTTTTGTTTATTGTGTTCAGTAACTCTTTGCACTTCTAAAAATGTGGCTAAATAACTGGTCTTCTGGATGTCAGGTTTGCCTCAAAATAATGTCATGGGTTAAACCAAATGTTTGTCCTCAGGTGTTCTTAAAATTCATTGAGTCAACAAGCATCAGTGACTTGATACATGCAAAGATTCATCTAGTACTTTGACAATTCTAGTTTGCACTTTACATAGAAGGCTATGGCTAGATTCATACCTGAGCTAACAGAACACACTAGTTCAGGAGCCAGAGGACTAGGCCTGAGGAATCCACTTAAAGGGCAACATGGAAATGCTGCTAGAGGCAGAACCACGCAGAACAGCTTCAGAAAAGAAGCTGTCTAAGAAAAAAATCAGCCCAGGTCTCCTCCAAGTTTTGATGCTAACCTGACAGTCATTATCATGGACCAGCATCCCTAGTACAATCTTCTGATTTAAAATAATTCTTAAGACCAGCAGGGGTTTGATATCATGAGATAAGGTCTCATGGGGGTTTTGGACAGGCTAAGATCTGTCCAGCAGCACGGAGATCTGTGCTATTCCCGACAAAGAACAACAGAGACTTGGGAAACAGGGTGAACTAGGTTGAAAAAGGATAAAAGAAAATTTAAAAACTATAAGGAGGGAAATGAGAAGCGAGAGAGTTAGGGTCACAGCTATGAGCACCAGAACCTGACATATTCCTGTCTTATGATTAGCAAGTTTAAGTAGTTTGTCAAGAGCCTATGGAATACCTCTCCTTACTCAGGCCTAGTCAGGCTAACAGAAACTCACCTGAAAATGTTTATCTGGCCTCCTTTTCTTTGCTAACTTCGTTAATCTTTAGCTGCTTGGATAAACTGAATCATATAAGAAACTGTGATATTCTATAAATAATGCAATATAAAATGATCAAAAATAAGATTCTTAGTCTGTATATGGGCTGCATTTATAATTTGAGGTTTTATTTTGACACCAAAAGAGCTTCAATTCAAGAATTGTATTTAATTATTTATTTTTCGTGACAGGGTTTCTCTGTAACTTTGGAGCCTGTCCTGGAAGCTCTTGTAGACCAGTCTGGCCTCCAACTCACAGAGATCTGCTTGCCTCTGCCTCCTGAGTGCTGGGATTAAAGGTGTATGCCATCACCACTTGGCTAAGAATTGTAATTTTTTAATGGCTATAATTAGAACACTCAGGTTAATAGTCACCTATAAATGATCAAATTCTTTGACATATTCAGAACTATGCTTGTAGTCATGCTAAGAACAAATGTAATTCATTGACAGGGATAAGCTTTTTTTTTTTTTTATCTTCTGTATATGTTTTCCAGGTTAAGCCTAAAACAAGTAGAGTTTACTAAGTCAGGTATACTTAAGAGAGGACCTTCAAAGATTCTTCAAATATGTGAATATAGTATTTAAAGTATTCAGTGAAAAATGTCTCCTGTGGTAGACAAAACTTGCGGCTCCTAGAGGCAGCCCTAAGGTCTCTTCCAAAGGCGAAGCCGCAAGTACTGTGGTAACACTAGCCAATCGGTGGGACTGCCCCAGCTTCATCCGCCTCCAAGATCCTGCGAGAGTGAGGACAAGCAGGACGCTGACTGCCCCTCTTCCACCACACACACACACACACACACACACACACACACACACACACACAGCTGCACAGAACCCAGGGTGGCAGTCAGGGAGTTAATGTTGTCCTGTGTGACTGCGGGAGCCTGAAGCCGCGTTGGCTCCATGGAGACTGCAGGGGAGGAGCCTATGGTAATCATCCAGGTAGCGGGTAAATTTCTGCCATTTTGTTGATACAGAGGCTGTTTGGTTTATACTTCCTGGTCAGATTTATCTCAGATCTCTGATGTTGATTTGCTTTATCAGTTTAATAGCAGCTGCCTGGTCAATACATTTCATATGTGAAAACCAGTCTTTGCTTTTTCTAGAGCTATTAGGTCTCCTGGTGAGAAAGGCAAATTTAAAACACAGGTTTCAATGTAACTTTTTACTATTCCTGTATTTAAAAGAACTTGCTTTGCAATGACTGCTCTCAGCAATTAACCACTTGTGTTTCATGGTAAATGATTAAATGGAAAAAGGAGAAATGTTTGTGGTTTATGTAAATTGTAAGGGTATGAGAAAATAATTTTAAAAATTAAATAATAATAATAAAACTTAAAGATGATATATGTTGTTAAGACTTTAAAGGTTTAGAGTTGTAACATAATAATCAATGGAGTTCTGATAAGCTATTTATCTGGTTCTGGTAAAGCCTGACCATTATTGTCACAAGTTCAAATTTTAAATTTTCCTTTATTTTTTAAATATAGACTAAAAGGTACTTCTTGTTGTGCTAAAACTATTTTTGTCCAATTTGTATATATCATCCCTTTGGACAGGAAAATATGTTAATGCTTTTAACACATACTTAAGTTTTTGGTCCCAAAGCTTTGACTATGACTCAAGGGTGTGAGCCTACTGCCTTTTCTACGGTGTGGATTTCTGTACAGATTACAAACAGTGATAATGATAACATATCTAAAAACCTTTATCTCTTTTTGTAAACTTTAAACTCCCGTAAGCTTCAAACAGTTGAGACTTGGATTCGCCTGCCACAGGTCAAATGGACTCCAGATAAGCACTTCTGCCCTAAGTTTCCCCGCTTACTGCTTATTCCTGAGGGAAGTTCTAAATGTGAGATTTTCCTTCAACTTCTGTCTCTAGTCTCTATCTGTCCCAGTGGATTTCTACTCAGCTGACAGACACCACCCATGAAATCAGCTGTGGACTACAAATTGCTCTAAATGGCTGTGAGCCCTGGACTTACTGAAAGCGGGTTAAACCACCACAGCCAGTGTGCTTGTTCCTGTCTCCTCAGCTGGGTCAGCAGACTAGATACTCCTGATGAATGTCCCCCACAGCCTGGCATGATACTCCTGATGAATGTCCCCCAAGACTGGCAGTCCAGTCTTCCTGGGTCCTGACAATGATGTCCTAATTTCAGCTGAGAAGCAGTTATAGAAGAGAGTATGTTGCCCTTATCCTCAACAAAAGGCTGGAATGTTAAGTCTAAAGGAGCCTGGGACCCTGCTGGAAGGGACCATGAATTGTCATCCTGACCACCCCACTGCTGTCGAGGCAGATAGCATCCAAACCTGGATACATGACTCCCAAGTCAAGTGTGTCACTGATGAAATAGATTGTCTACGAAAGATAAAACTGATGCAGGTTATAGGCTAAGAATAGTGTTTTGTCTGACTTTGTTCCCTCTTGCTCTTTCGTAGGATATATGGTTCTCCCTTTAAGAGCAAATGCAAATTTGCCATAAATGTCTCACAACTCCTGGCCATTGCTTCATCAGGTGGACATTCCTTGCTTCACTCCTGGTTGAAACTGGGTTGTAAGTGCTGTCAGGTTACACCCTTGCTTGCCTATTTGACATGTGCATCAACCCCTGGAATTCTGTGTTTTGGTGTCCCTGTTCCCCTGGATGTATGTCTATGATGGTTCAGTGGAGAGAAAACATGGATGAGCAGGCCAGGCCCTTCTAGCTCTATATTCAGGAAAAACATAGCCCTCCCCATATGCCTCCTAATAAACTTAGGGTTAGGAAGAACAGGCACCACTGGTACGTAACGGCTGACATTAGCTTCGAAAACCTAGGACTCCAAATGACCCAGGATCTGTCCATATTAGAAAAAAATTAATTGCCAAACTGGAAGAACAGGTGGCTTCATTAGCTGAGGTTGATTTACATCATGGGCGAGCACCCGACCTGCTCTATGCAGAGCAAGGTTACTGTATAACCAACCAACCATACATACCATACATATAACCATACATACATACATACCATGCTTATAACCATACATACATACCATACTTATAACCATATATACATACCATACATATAACCATACATACATAGGGGAAAGTCGCTGATTCTGTGCAAACCATTGGGGAATCATTAGAGACAAGTTGCCTGCGCTCTGGAAAAACCTTGAAGAAGGGAGAAGGCCCTAGGTGGAAAAAAAGAGAAAGGTTCCGGTTCTCCTTCTCAGGCCCTTCTTGGTTAGTAACTCTGCCATCACAAGGCCCTTAGCTCTCCTGCTCCTGCCCCTCATCATCACGGCCTTAACTAGATATGTAAATTCCCACTTAGGAGTTACTGAGCTGATGGTAACTAAGTCCCAATATGAACAGGTATCCACCACAGATTCAAGGATCTGACTCAAGACACAACTCAAGGGGAGAATATGACGGCCAACATTATGTTGATGGCTAACTGTATATTTAAAAGTTTAAAATTTGCTTAACAGACCTACAAAGCAAAAATGGACTTACAAATGTTAAGGGTGCTAAGGGTTAATGTTTGTAATTGTCTGGTTTTGTACAACTTTAACAAAAGCACTGTTTCTGCTTCTGTAAATAAAAGCTTGCTTTGTGGGAGATGACCTTCTGCTTGTTCTGTAGACAGAATATAACTTTGCCTTTAAAATCCTGACTAGATAGGCTGGTGCTACATCTGGGAATCTAGTTCCGAGTGTAAACCTCGCACAGCATATAAATTAAAGCTTCTTCTTTCTTAAAATTTACGAATGGCCAGATTGGTAAATCTCTGAATGACCCGGACTCATCACAATGCTGTGACCATGGATCACACAGAAGCTGTTATTCTTGAACAGCTGTGCCTCGCCCCAGCTTGGACCAAGGCAATGGTTTGTTAAAAGACTCCATTTCCTTTTATCTAGTTATGAGTCTGTGAGGTCTGGTTGTCTCTCCAACTTCTCCTCTCACCTCTGAACTCTTCCTTCCCTTCCAGGCTGAAGGCTTCACACTGTTCCTGCAGTGGGAAGTCCTGACTGCAGCTCTCTCTCACTGTCCACCCAGCGGTAACCTGAAGTATTGATTAAATGAAGGTGCCCATCAGTGTTGGAGGCACTGCCTTTGAACGTAGTGGGGAAAGGCTCTGAACTCTGAAGAATTGGGGAAGATTGAAGTACATTTTAGTTCCTGTTGTTTTTTAATAACATCTCAATCCTTCTATTTTTACCAATAAAGATGCAGGAGCCAGATGCAGGAGTGAAAACCTGCTACCCAGAGAGTCAGAGAAAGCTGCCAGCTGATCCTCCTGCTCCACATCCCAGGAGCCTTCTTCTCCTCCACCATCTCCAGCCACCCTCCTCCAACTCAAGGTTCCTCCCTTCTACCTCCCGTGTGTCTCTCTATCCATCCTGACTCCCTCTTACTCTTTGTGTTTTTTTCTTAATAATCCTATGTTCACTTCCTGTTAACTGGCTGCTTGCTCTACTTCTTGATGTATGGTTTGGTTTATTTAATCTGTTTATAATAACCAAACAGAAATGTCTAGGATTAAAGGTGTGCACTAGGACTGAGCCACACCACAAGTACAAGCAAGTTTTTCCAGGAAATAATGTAATCTTGGGGTTCATAGTGCGGTCAAATATCCGGCAACAGGGTCCCTTTTCTTTTTTCTTTCCCCCATCAGGAGTAACGTATAGTTCAGATGACTAGCCCAGAGGAACAGGACCTCAGTTTGGCTCTTGACTGCATGGCTCCCAGCAATATGCATAAGACCCGTTGTCTCCACTGAAGGCACACATATGAACATGTGAATTCTTAGAAGTTATCTGGTTGTCCCGAGTCCAGAAAGCTCCCCAGATAATGGTTGGGTCTTAAGTGAGGTGGGGAAGCCACCACTGACAATGGGGAAGTTACATCTTTCAAAGGGGTTTCAGGTCCCCGCATCACAGGTAGCTACACAAATAGGCATTGCCAAAGACCAGAGATGAGAGAGACTTTGAGCTACCCCCGACCCCAAGGAGGAGAGAGCAAGCCAAAGTCCTGTTTGTTGGAGGACTTTTGAGTCATTAATACTTAAAAGCACTAATATTGCAAGACCTCATTTGTGCCTTCAGCCCATGTGTGTGGATCATCCAGGTAGGTTCATCCCAGCTGTTCTTAAATGCTGATGCTCTGTCTCACCAAGCCAACAGAGCCCTGTAGGCAAGCACTTCTCTGCATCACTTGAGGAGGGCATGGAAGTTCCATAAACACTTGGTGCTGGACTGGGGGAGGTACCCAGAAAACAGGAACTGGGCTTGGTGAAATACAGAAATTTGTTCCTGGATGGCTACCAGGTTTAATAGATAGCAAACCGGGCAGATTCGGTGTCATTTGGGAAATAAGAGAATCTGGCCATCAGCCATGATACTGCCAACTTAAAGCTTTATAGATTGGTTCCTAGCGGCTTTGGAATCTGACGAAACCCGTGTGTAGTTCTTCAGAGTCAAAGGCTGTCACTGGCAGAGCCACTGGCAGAGCCACTGGCATAGCAGAAAACGTACTGGTTTCTATCTGGGCTCTAAGAACTGTTTAAAGTTACATCTTAATCTATCTTTCGGAAGACACATGCAAGTATGTCATCAGAGAACAGCTTGCAGGAGTTCGTTTTGTCCCTCCACTCTGTCAGATCCAGGAACCAAACACACTGGCAGGCTAAGCAGCAAGTGCCTTATTGAGTTGTCTCATGGGCCCTCTCTCTGGGTTCTTGACAGCGGGGTGGCCTTGCACAAGCCTTTTCACACTTCTGGGCCTCCTACACACCTTCAAAGCCTCGGGGGTGGACAGGTTTACTTATGCGCCTGCTGGCTGACACCTGACAGTTCCATCAATCTTCAGCCCAGAGCTGTTCCACAACTCCGTAGCTTGAATAGGAAATCCATCTCCCTTGCAGATTAAAAACCCATTGATTTTCCCTCTTTGGCAAGGGGAATGAGACTGCAGTTTCTCTCCCTGCAGAGACAGAAAAACAAACAAACAAATAAGCAAACAAATAAATAAATAAACTGTCATTTCAGTTCCCATAAGATGTTTTATGGTTCAGGTTTGAATGCTAAACAATCCTGTTTTAGAAATCTGGAGTTGGTTCACACACACACACACACACACACACACACACACACACACACACGGTTTTTGAGACAGGGTTTCTCAGTGTAACTGGTTGTTCTGGAACTCGCTTTGTAGACTAGGCTAGCCTCAAACTCAGATATCAGCCTACCTCTGTCTCCCAAGAGTTGGTATTAAAAGCATGGTTCTTTTAATCAGAGGCCAGGCCTTCCGGATGGAAAACGAACCAATGCTAAAGGTTCAGTTTAAGGGCTTTCGGCCACTGTACCGGCCAGGGATGGTTATTGGGGTTCGGTCAGTCGCAGTGCTCCCTCGACCTACGTGGCTAGGTAATGCTGTCGTCTTTGGCCTTTCTGGCTGGGGTTTGCGTTAATCTCAAGCAAATAACAAGACTGATTTCTCCAGCACAGAACGACCTCGGCCGCGAGGAGTCTCTCCACCCTTTGTAAGTCGATGCAATAGAGGATTGGTGGCTTCGTGGAGAGCCGGGGCCGGCGGCCAATGGAGACCATGGGGAGGCGGGACTTTCTGGTGGGCGGAGCCAGAATTCGGGAATCAGTGAGCAGCCGGATGGCCCGCCCCAGCCTCGAGTAGCGGCTCGGCTTCTGTGGGATGTGGGTAAGCGCTAAAGTCTACCTCGGGCTACCTGGTAAGAGGCTCGGAAGGGACGACCCCAACGTCCTCGCTGCCTGGCTGCTGCGCACTCGGACCTGTCCTGAAAGAGTAGGGACATCCCACCCTGGACAAGAACCAGTCACCGCCCACCTGGACGGCCACGCAGGCGCACCTGCTTCATCAGGACCCCTCGCCCAGCCTGGGAGCCGCTGCGCGTGGGGTCCCGCCCACCACCCGCTGCCTTACCCTGGTGCATCTGAGAAAGCTGCAGACACCAACGGGCTTGCTGCAGTTCCCCTATGGCGCGATCCCCTCACCCTCCGAGTGTACGCCCTCGCCCAATGACGTCACCTGCTCCTGCACCGTCCAGCAGGGACCCAGGAACTCTAAGCAAGCAGCAAGTGCTACCCTTTCCTCTTGCTTTCTTTTGGTAGGTATTTATGACCCTCTTGACCCCAGTGGCAATTCCCAGACTTCATAACCCTGCTGCTGCTTATCTTGACGCAACCCATCAACAGCGTCTATGTTCTGATGCTTATAGACTTTACTCTGTAGATAATGAGGCCAACAATACAAATTTACCCCTTTCTGTCGTGCAAAGGTTAAAGTCCCTTTGCTTCTAAGATGAATACAATTATTTCCACTCAGGACTTGCCGTAAAAGGAGATGGTCTGGGTTCTTTGGATTACACAATCGCGCCCCCCCCCCACCGTCCATGCCCTTCTTTAGCGAACAAACTACAAATTCCATCAAGCAGAAAGTGGAATTTCTTTCATCAGTATTTGAAATACTTCTGTTTTGCAGTCTTGAGGGGTTGAGGAGCCTGAAATGACAGGATGAAAGGCGTCAGCAAACAGAATCTCTACTATTTCCATGCTTGAAAAACAGTCTTTCCTCATAAACATTTGTATCCTCAGAATTTATGGTTCCTGATTTCACCCTGGAGTTGACGTCAAAAGGCCCTTAACTGTACATTCTGAAGTGTGGAACAAACTGATGGAACGCATCTGTCACACTCGCAGTGTGGCTCCTGCATTCGCTGAGTCGTGGCCCACATACATACTTTCTACCTGTGGAAGCCCCTCTCCACCTGCAAACACCCCATTCTTCACTCACTTCTGGTCAGCCCTGAAGTCCAACCCCTGAGTGCCTTGACCTAGGAAAACACAAGAATGAAGACAGCCTTTCAGATGGTAGGGTTAGTCTAGTTCTGGGAGAGAGGCCTCCATTTCTCTCAGTCTACTCAGAAGATCCAGCCTCGCTTTGGACTTCACATGATCCTTGCTTAGAACATCCTGGAAAAGTCTGAGGAAAGTGAGGTTCCTTTGTAGCAAATGTGTGTGTGCTTCAGCTGCTGTGACAAGATACCCAAGCAAATGAAGCTTACAAGAGGGAAGACCTATTTGGTTCACTGTTCCAGGCCGTGGTACCTTGGCTCTGCCGCTTTGGGCCCATGGTGAGGCAGAACATTATGGCAGGGATGGTATAGAGGATCAAGCCTGCTCCTGTCTTTTGGGAAGTGCTGAGAAGGAGAGGGAGGAAGCTAGGGTTCCAGCACCCCTTTAAGGGCCCATCTCCAGGGATTTAATTTCCTTTTAGTGAGCCTATGTTAGTTACTCTATCATCATTTTAACCAAATACCAACAGAACAACTTGCGGTAGGAAAGATTTCCTTTAGCCCATAGTTTCAGAGGGCTCAGTCCAGCAGAGCAGAGCAGAGCAGAGGAATTTAGTCCAGGAAGCAAAAGAAGGGCAGACGCCAGAGCCTGGCAGGGTGGGTCTTCCCCATCAATTATCTCTGGAAAGACATACACCTCGCTGGGCGGTGGTGGCGTATGCCTTTAATCCCAGCGCTTGGGAGGCAGAGGCAGGTGGATCTCTGTGAGTTCGAGGTCAGCCTGGGCTACCGAGCGAGTTCTAGGACAGCCTCCAAAGTTATAGAGAAACCCTGTCTCAAAAACAAAAACAAAAAAAAACAAAAAAACCCTAAAAAAGACATACTCCTCAAGATATGCCTCGCCAGTCTCCTAGGTAATTTATAATCCAGTCACTTTGACGACGAATATAAACTATCCCAAGGCTCCACTCTGCAAAGGTTCCAGCATCTGCCAGTGATGCCATCAACTGCTTTCAACATGGAAGCATTTGAGATCCAAACCATAGCAGCCAGCAGGGTGAAGGTGAAGTTAGCTCAGGTCAGCATCTGCAGCAGCTGAATCCTGTTTGGGATTTGTCCCAGATGCCATAATGATCTAACATAAGGCACCAACATAATTTGGAGAACTGTGTTTTTCTCTGTTAAATTAGTGCTGGTCATGTCTGGCCAAGAAAAAGGTGGAGGAAACAGGCCAGGAACAACCTGCCAGAAGACCTGGCAAATCAAATCCGGCTAAGTCTGAAACAGGCAGATCTGAAATTGCAATTAGCTTGGAAATGAAGATCTTTTCAGAAAGGAAAATGGCCCCAGAGCATATCCCTATTGTCTGTCCTATCTCCTGGCTCCCACCCAGACGTCCCTGAGACAGCCCGTTGGCTCAGAGTCCTGTGAACATCCAGCCAGTGTGAAGGAGAACGGTGGCCATCTTCACCTGCTGGCAGGGCACACTGCCGGAAGGGAAACCCAGGCATTTGGAGGCTGGAGACAGGCTCAGGAGAGAGGAGGGTATGCAGCCCTCGGAATCTCCAGCACTTGGGCAGAGCTCACTGCAGGCTGTTCATTACATTATTGTGACTGCACTTCCTAATGGAAGCAGCTTAAGGGAGAAAAGATTTATTTGGGCTTGTGATTCTGAGAGTTTCAGAGTTTAGTGGGGAAGATCAGGAAGGGCCACTCCCTCTGCAGTGTTGGGCACATGAGGCAGAGGCTGTTAGTGTGCCCGCCAACCACAAAGTGGAGTTGGCTGCAGGAGTATAATCTCAGAGGCCCACCCCCACACCGTCCCTCCTGAAAGTTCTAGTGCCTGCACAGCTGGGGCCCGAGTGTTCAAAGTGAGAGCCTCTGGGGCCTTTTCAGATTCCGTCCACGACACAAGCCCGAAGGCATGATCTTTAGCTAGACCATGGGCTGTAAATGCCTGGTGTTCCTGAGAGCTGCCCCCTTACTGTGGGAAACCCCTGACTTCCTCAAAAGTAAATGTGCTCTGTAAGCCTGAGATCCTGAACAAAGTTAGAGGACTCAGAATTTTATTTTATTTTTATCATTTTTGATCATAAGACAGAATGCCTTCTCTTTATCATCTTATTAGGGGAGATGAAGCAGTCTTAATGATGTTGCAGGGTTTGGTGATCTGTCAAGTCTGAGCACTTACCAGGAGGCAGACCCTGGGAGGTGTTTTCAGTCGAGCCATGGCTGCTGCCTCTAGCAAGTTCTGGTATCACAGCAGCTCATGGGAGAAGAGCTGGAGGTGCAGGGAGGTAGGCTGAGACTAAAGGGCGCTGATGCCACAGGCACAGGCACAGGTGGGAGGAGGCCTATGGCCAGGGCGTTCTCCTGCTGCCCTGTTGCTCTGTGCTGTGGGTCTGGCTTGCTGTTGTCCATTCTCTCCTGTGCAGCCAAACCTTGGCTACCTCTGTCTTCCTGCACCAAATCCCCAGGAAGGTAGCAGAGATGACCTTTCTCTTGGCCAATGCGTGTGTCCCCTGAACTCAATGGCAGCCAAACACCTAACTCTGAGGTGCTAACCACCATGTGCCAGGGTGGCATGGGTGGCCTGTACCCACATCACAGGGGTGTAGACATGGGTAAGAGCAGGTCTGATCAGTGGTCACCATGATAGAATGTCCATGGTGTGTGGTCTGTGAGGTTCACTTTCATAACCCTTGAGGGCAAATGTGATTTCCTATTTTACAGTTAAAAAGAGCATCAGATGGGATAAAATAACTTGCCCAAGGTCATCTCAAGGTCATCTCGCTGGAAAGCATTGGGGTTGTATTTGATTTTCTGGACAGGAAGGAGGTTATGGGACAGAGAAGGTGGAGATTTGGGGTGGGTTGGGACGAGTGTGGGAGTGTAGGAATGTGATGACCTGTGTTTGGACATGTGTGTCAGGGGACAGAGTGGAATAGGCAGTCCCGCCTACAGTTGATATTAACACCACTTTTATTTTTTCTGCTGTGGCTAGCCACCACCCAACCTTCCCAGAACTGCCACGGCCTCCCGACAGGCCCCTGTCTTCCTCTGCCTGCTTCAGTCTGTGTGCCACACAGCAGTAGAGTCCAGTTGGACAGCTGGCTTTGGCATTCCTCTGCCAGCCCCTCTAGGAGAGCTGCCTGCATTGACCCACTCCACTCCCGACCCCATCCTCCAGTCTGCTTTTGTGGAAGAGTGATTACCCTGCCTTCTCTCTGCCTAGAGCGCCAACCCTCCCCAGATAGCCAACCTGCTGTGTTCTTGCAGGCTCTGCCATGTTTTTACTCAAAAGCAACTTCTGGAAAGTGTCTCCCTGGCATCTTTACTTGAGACTTACACCACGCTTGACCTTCGTTCCTCCTGCTGACACTTGCACTAACTTATTTTGTACTCAAATGCTTATTCTGTCTCCTCAGCTAGAACAAAATTCTACCTAGGCAGAGATTTTTCCTGTACTTCTTATTGGTTGTCCTGTCTCCCATGCTTGGCATATATCACATACTTAGAAAATAATTGTTGAGTAAGTGGTTGTATGGATGAAGCCCCACAGTATGCCTCATGTTGTAGATAGACTCCAGAATTCTCACGGGGCAGGAGAGGTGAGAGTCAGAGGTTTGTGGAAGGGGAAGTTAAGAAGGCCACATTCAGGACTGAGAGGACTCCATCCAGGGAGGCAGCGGGTGTAGGCACCCACTACATCTGCGGATACCTCTGTGCTGCCCTCTGGGAACTCCTAAAGATGCCTGGATTCAGGTACAGTAGCAAGGACGGATAGGCCAGGACCTCAGGATATTTAAGAGAATGTCCATCACCATGACTGGTGAGAAATAATCTTGTCTCAAGTGACCAGAGGCAGAGAAAGCAGAGGTGCTAGGGCAGGGGCACACCCTCCTCTGTCAGGACTGTTCTGACCCTGGACACCCCAGGTAGTATCATCTGAGAGGTCTCATGAGAGACCCAAGCGGCCATTGGTATACCGGTCCCTCTCAGAGACTGTGCAAAGCCAGGCAGCCTAGATCAGCGTGGCCATGTGGAGGACCGGGTAGCATTCTCAGATGCTGGTCTCAGTCTCAGCCGGGCCTCCCAGCACGTCCAGCAATAGAGGCTTCTCATCCTAAGATGAAGTTGAACAGACCTGGCTGAGCTCTGCCTCCACCTTCCTTGTGTGTGACTTGAGGCAGATCTCTAGCATAGAGGGAAGAGGAGTTGTCAGGGTGACTGCCAGGACTAAATGTGGTGTCACAAAGGGTGTGGCATGCAGTGGCTCTGTAAGCAGAGGCCTAGCTGGTCTTATTATCATT